AAAAAAGAGAATAAGCGCTTAGAAATGATCACAAAATTTGACCCCATCATGTCTGTTTATATTAATAAAATTCAAACTCAAAAAAGTATGCTTCTTTACCTTGAAGATAAAATTCAAAATGAAGCAATTAGCTTATAAGAGGATAATATAGAGTAAATTATTTTAAGTAAGGTCAAACAGGCAAAGTATTTTTCAATTTTACTTGATTGTACCCCTGATGCCAGCTATCAAGAGCAGATATTAATTTGTATGAGGTACCTAAATTTAGAAAATACAAACATGAGTATTGAAGAAAGGTTTTTAGTATTTTGTGTTTCAACAGATACGATCGGTGAAGGACGAACAACATTCTTTTTAAAGCCTTTAGAGGAAAATGATTTAGATATTAGTAATTTACGCGGCCAAGAATACGACAATGGTTCAAACACGAGAGTTAATCAGATTTTCGAGTAATTATTCTCAAATCGTTGCTTTTTCGAATTAAAAAATTAACCCAAGTTTAACATAATATGTAACTGCACTTACCATTTTTATGTAGAAAAACAATAACGGTTATAAATTTCAGTCAAATAAGACAGTGCGTTAGGAGGAAGAGGCACTCAGAACTGGCAAACTCGAGCCTGTCTTAACGCAGTTAAACGCTTCAACCCCTAGAGGCGATCCAAGAAGCCGCTAGCCTATCGGTCGAGCCGACGAGCTAAGCTGAGTCGACAGGAATACTTAGAAATTCACATTTCATGTCCCCGTTCTGGAGAGATGGTAAAAGCATCTGCCATCAACGGAGGCCCCAAACCCGGACAGCAGAACGAAGTCAGTTATTAAACACCGTCAGACAGACCGGCTACCAATCCGGCCTGCTAAAACAACGTCATGGTATACAGATGTTGGCTTTACACGCCCCCAAGGGGAACCCAAGGAAGGCTCAGGCGCCCACTGGAAACTTCAAGCAGTTTAAAGGCTCGCTGAATTCGCCAACACCACCGACGGGGGTGTTTCGCCCCGGCCAACCATGAATATCTGGCTATATAACTCAACCATAATCAACGGAACGGGTTAGAATACCATATGGCTCCTGCCAAGCCTGAAACAGCCATCTATAGAGATGACTCAAGTCCTGTGGAAACTGATTTTCAACACCCATCACTGAGACTGCCTTTGTACAGATTTTAATCAGTAGCTTCCTAGGTTTTATCTGAGTCGACCCCCGGAGGAGCATTCAATTAAGACAAGAATTTTCCTGTTCAGCCAGGCAGCGAGACGAACTGCTTGTTTTGATGATTGCCCGGCGCCGTCGTTCGCCGCACGGCCTTGCATATATTGTCGGCGCGGGCCCGGTTGTTTCTGTCATTGGAAAAAAACAAATATAACTGATGTTCATTTTTCATCAAACGAATTACGTAAATTATTTAATTTTGATCTTCGTATATTAGTCCCCATGTTTGCTGCGAAAACAATTAAATTTTTAAGCAAAATGTGTTATAATACTACAACTAAAAAACTTTTAGGGAGGTGTGTGTGTGATTATGGCAAAGCCTCGAGGGCTATCTGCCTAAGGGGAGGGATGCCTTTGTGGAGGACTTTCTAAGGGAAACTGGCTCGTATACACGTTACACATGGGGAAAACCTCGAAAACGCCCATGCAGCCAGCCCGTTCGCAGGATTCGAACCTCGGACCGAACTACCAGTGTTCAGCGACTTTACCGCTCGCCCGCTGGTGAGCCGCTCTTAGGGAGGATATTTGCCCTGATGCGAGCGCTAAGATTGATGTATGAATGCAGATAAGTATTTTGAAGATGAAGAATAGTTTTCTTTTAAATACATTTATAAAATTCAGTTACAGCATAATGTAACGTCGACAATTTTTGTATTTGTACAAACAATACATGTGTAGATATATATGACTTATTTTTTAAGCAATGCACTTAGACATCGGTAAATACAATACAGCAGATCGAATTGGCGACCAGCGAGTAAATTTCAATTATGTATTTTTTGCAAAAATTTCTACATTTTACTTATTTGAAGTCAGAGTTTACATTATTTTCATTACCATTAAAGAGGAACATTAACAACGCGCCAGGAAATATATATAATGAACAAATTGATTTACACTGTGATATAGATCTTCCTCAAATATTTGAAGTTACAGATTTTAATTTTTATTCCTACTTTTCAAAAATAAATAAGTTCAGCTACGAGTTTTCACGATAAGAATAATCGCTTTGTTTGAGAATATATTTATATATGAACAGAGTTTTAGCACAGACGAAGAAAAGGACCCTATTGGTTTAAATGGGTTATTTTCTTATTAATTTTGTTTAAATACATAATGAGTATCAGCAGTCCGTGATAAAGAAGATTTCTAGTAATTTTTCTCCAAGACTACAAACTTTATCAGAACCGAATACACATATCAAACTGTATTAAGAAATGAAAGAAATTTATAATTATTTACATGCCAATATACTGTTGCGTGCCTACGGGTTTGTAATGATTTGAATACACATAAAACCGATTACAGCTTGATAAAATTTATTTTAACAAAAGAAACATTTTATACTTCTAGAAATTCTCACAAAAGTACTCGTACAGCTCTTCTCAGTATGACAGAGTAGAATCAGTCGTTACCTCTTTAAACCACTAAGAACGTTTAACAGAATGCAATTTAAAGCGCACGTAAAGTGCAAAACACGCAGGGAGATTTAAATCTAAAATAAAATTGGAATTGATGCTCTCTTCGGTTATAATAATATATAAGTTATATATATAAGTTTTTCTCCCGCCTCTGAGAAATCTCTATAGTTACTTCTCATTCTCGAAAATACTGGAAGGCATATACGGTTAAAGTTACGTATAAGGGCCGGATACAGTTACAATTACATACAAGAATCATAACAGTTATACAGGGAGAATGTCGCCGACTGGTCTCCACGTTTGGCCTTTTTGGCGATTTTTCATTAAATTTGGCGACATCCCTCAAATTAGCGAGATACCCATTTACCTCATAATACACTTTCCCCTGTATCCTTATTTTTCCGGCGGAGCTTTGTTTTTCATATTATATTATACAAAAGATACTACAGTTTTCACATATAATTTCACTAAAATTATTTACATGTGTACAAAATTCGTAACAATATGTATTTTTATATATGTGCGTCGAAGAAAAATTTAATAAATAAGAGAAAATATGTTGTTATTTTTTATTCTCAAGTTTTGTTCCATTGGTAAATTTTCTCTGAAAACTCAGAAAATTTTGAAATTTGTCTAATTTTGTTTTAAATTAAAGTAAGTTATTTAATGATTAATTAAACATGTAAGAAATAATGAAAAGGAATGCGATTTTAAGTGTTTAATATTAGCTGTGAATATGTTTGAATTAAAAATTGCAGCCTACAAAAATGTCTTGCATGAACCAAACTCTCCATTTCAGATAGAAAATAAATATAAATATATTTTTTTCTTATGCGATATTATTATTCTTTACATACTATATACATTATTTATATATGGTCTGTCAGCTGTTTTCAGATTTTTCATGCGGCCCGCGTGCTACTTGAGTCAGACTATTGCATTATAGTATTATAAGGCATTTCGTCTTAATATTTTTTTAATAATAATATTTTTTCTCTAATTTAATTTATTATAAGAACAGATAGGAGTCGGAACTTACAGTAATACTGCTGTATATACGCCATGAAACGAGATCAATACCTCTCTTTTATATAAAGTGTTATTTCTGTTCTTATGCTATTTCACAGCTAAAGAACTCTTCCTTCTAATACTACTCTGTGCACCATGATAAGAAAAGTAGAATATAGTTTGAGTTGGTGGTCTAATATTGCATATTCTCGACACTGGAACAACGGAGATGGAGCCGTAACTCAAATCGGACAGCCGTAGCGTCGTTATGAGTCACACCGAAGATCAAAATTTCTTACAAACTCCAGAAGTGTTAAAATTTTTAATAATATATATAATAGCGTTATACTAACGAATACTGTAATAGAAGGACAAACCGTCAATGCGTAGAATTAGTTTCATCTTTAGGACATATTGTGCGGCCAGTATTGCGATGAAAGCTATAAATTTTAGAATTTTCTTTTCAGTTGTTAGGACAATACTTTGAAGTGTATAGTGTAACCAGTGGTTGATTTATTTACTCGACAAAGCTTGTTCTACCGTCTGCTATACTTCTCGGACTTAAGAGTTGATCTCGGATCTGATTCATTTACTATCTTTTCCTGGAATCCTTCAAGCAACATACCGCTCCATTTGAACCAACAGCAGAACAGTAAGGGCGGTGCCTGAAATTTCAAAGTTCCCCAAAATATTACGAGTAAGTGATTTTTTTCATCATAATTCCAAAGTGATTCTCTCACTTTGTAACTTAACTCCTCTTCTTCCAATAATGCATTTAATATAAAATCAGATGGATGAGAATCTGGCAGAAAGTTTCATGTGTAACGAATGAGAAAGCCGTTCTTTCATACGGAATTTTATGCTCATAACCCATTACTTATTACTGGAGGATTAATACTTCTACATCGTCGGCAGAGGGCTGTACATGATACTGGTGATTATATAAAATGTTGAAGAGTAGCAGAAGTTTAGCAGAAGAAACCTTTTTATATCAATTAAAATCCTTACTTTGCAGTCTCTAACACATATAACGTACTAAATATGGGTTTAAACACACACATATATATTATGAATAAGGTTTCGATCAAGAGTAAGCTGTTGGTAATAATTTTGAGGTAATAATTTTACAAATTCCTTTTTTACAGCGCAGAGACTGGTACCTCTAATCGCCACGATATTGTAAGGCATATTATATTTTCATTTTTACAATTATAATTGCTTTACCTAGTAATTTCATTGAATCTATTTTAAAACTTGAAGCTTAAGTTAAATGACACGTATGCCTTTTTTTAAGGTATTTGCAGCATATGAAACCGAAAAGTAATGTATTCGTTAAAAATTATTTTTTTTTCTTTCAGAGTATGGCAAAGACCTTGAAGAATGGGTATGCGGTGACACTAGCGGCTATTTTAAGAATTTGCTACGAGCGCTTATAACTGCAGAACGAGACGAAAGTGTAGATATAGACTTTGAAGAAGCTGAAAGGGATGCTCAAAGACTTTATGACGTAAGCACTTACGTTCGATAACAAGCACTTCATTAATCTGATGCATGTAGCTTTTCTTTAAGTTTGATCACTTTATAAGGTTTAATGTCTTTCACCTTTCACTTTTCGACGTAAAGCGACTTATATGTGAGTCTAAAATTAAGTACTGAACCCTGAGAAGGGTGTAAAAGGTCCTTTTATTTCAAACTGAGATAGATGAACAGAAGACACATCTGGTGCTTACAAATTTGCCAGGATTTATGTTTTGGATGTTCTATACTTCGACTGGAGTGTTATTCATTAGAGTTTGGATTGACGTTTAGGTTTATATATGGTACAATAATTTTATTCTTTAGTAAAAGTCGATTGCATACATTAGAACACATGATACTTTTATAAATGAAGCAGTCCTACTCTTTTAAATACCTAAATGACTCAGTGACTGAGAAAAATTCTACACATAACGTATTCCACATATATAATATATTTTATTGCTGCACTCTTATATGCAATCCCGTTAATTTATTCCGCCTATATAATATATTTTATTGCTGTATTCTTATATGCAATCCCGTTCATTTATTCCGCCTATATAAATTATCCGAAAAGAAGTTAGCGATGAACCAATAGCGTAATAATGAAATAAGTTTTATCTGCCTATTTTGAAAAATAACATAAGGGAAAATATTATTCTAATTAGGATTTGAGAAATATCATCTTAATCTTTTATTTAAACTATGTGCACTATAAGTTATGATATATAATAAAATGTAGTTTTATGCGTTTGTGTTTATGCTTGTCATTTATAAGGTTATTATTTAAACTAACCAGTTATTTATAATTTCCTACTTTACTATAACCTATCCTTTGCATTTCCTCAGAAATGTAAATGAATTAGAGAGTATTTAAGCTGAAGATTTTGGATTGTAAAACATAGCGTATTTCTGTCTCTCGAGGATAGTTGATAGTTGATAGTTGACGGGGGACGTGTGCACCATCCCTTTACCGTAATGGTTAATTGGCATATGCAACACGTCCACCTCTATCTTGAGCCAGATGGACCACACAGGCGCCTCGCACCATACACCGAAACCCAGCGACCAGGCCATCCAGGTGGCAGTCCAAAAGACCAAAGAAGCCCCCAGAAGCATGTTCACACCAACCGCCCGGGCCTAGTATTTATTGAGTCAAAGTTCAACAAATACATGGCCAGACAAGGGCTCAAAAAATAAATAAAATAGATAAATAAAGGGTACATTTGAAGTTTTGACAAAGCATAAGATTACAAAGGTGCAAGTGCCAGTTTTGAATAAATACTAGAATCACATAGACATAATTAGAACAAAACACATACAGATAGCGATAACAATAGAAAACCAAAGGAGTAAACACCATTACAAAACTACTACTGCTACATACTACAATACTACATACTACAAAACTACTACTAGAATACTTACAAACAGTACTACAAACTGATACAATGCTAAATATTACAAAACTGCTACTGCTGCTACATACTAGGCTGATAATAATGCTGATAGTATGATATCGATGATGTAATGATCTTAATACTGATGGTAAGTTCAATACAATAGTTAGTGTACAAAGCAAGGATACAATACATAAATACATTATGCAACTATATAAATACCAATGCAAGGTAAAGAGGATACATTATACAACTATATATACACGCATACACACATATATACATACATACACATATACAGATATATACTAATACAAGGTAAAAACGATACTAATGATTCTGTACGAGATGCAAGACAAGATAGATAATTCAATATAAGATCAATAAGCCATATTGTTCAATACAATAGTTAATGCAAAGTTAATAAAACACTATTTATATTACTATACCAACTGTATATTTCCTATATTAGTGCAATTTTATACGACGCATATCTATACGATGCTCACAATTTAATATATATTACACAGTACTGTATTGCAGGGAACTTATAATTCAATTTTATACAAGATGATACATATCTATACTATGCTCACAATTTAATGTATATATTATATAATACATTATACAGTACAATATGATTTACAACTAATACGTAAGATAATGGATGCTATATCATTCAATTACAAAAGTTAATGCAAAATTAATGATACATTATTTATATTACGATACCAACTACACATTTCCTGTATTGCAGGGGACTTATAGTGCAGTTTTATTATGTATACGATGCTCACAACATTGCAATTTCATATAAGATGATACACATCCATACATAGCTCACAATTTAATATATATATTATACAATACGGTTATACGATATAATATAATGTACTGCAAATACGTAAGATATGTGATACAATAGGTAAATTAACATGCTTACAGGGTTAGCATACAAGACGCAACAATAGGTACAATACAATACTAAGAGTAAATAAATAGAGTATGTGACAGTATATAGACAAATGCAATGTAGAAAAATACATATTGTCAAGTAATTGGTAATAATTATATGCAATATGCAATACAAGACATATGATACAGTATAAAATCGATAAGCTACGTCTATGATACTATTTATAATTTAATGGAATATTTAAAGCAAAAAGAGACCAAAATACTACTTTAACTTTCATACAGTATTTTAACACAATTGCTAGTTCAGTAAAATAATTAATACAATATTTAATTCAATACGTATCTCAGGGTATAAAAAGAAGTGCAATATATATATTCTTAATAGTATGATGCCTATAAGGCAATGTTCTTAATAACTAAAGCGAATTAAATGCAATACTTTGTATACAATACACAAAAGCAACACTTCAGTACAATACTGAGGATAAAAAGACATATTTTGCAACAGTATATATATACAAATGCAATGTATAAAAATACCTATGATCAATTCAATATTATTAATTCTGTGCAATATGCGATACAATGCAACAATATAGTTATACCAATATAATGTATAAAAAATACTTATGATCAATTCAATATTAATAATTCTGTGCAATATGCAAAACACGACATATCGAGGATACGCAACTTAGTTTTTCCAGCTCTGAAAAGATTATAATTATTCAGCTAACCGTCATAGTTGAACATCAGTTAAATTGTCATGCAAGGCCAACTTAGATTTATCATTTTAATCTTTTCTTTAAACTTCGTGCTCTACAAGTCAAGATATATAATAATATGTGTTTTACATATTCATATTTATGCTTATGATTTATAAGATTATTGTTTAAATTAACCAGTTATTTATAATTTCAGCGTTTGCCATAGTTTATCCTTTCCGTTTCCTCACCAGTAATGTAAATATGTTGCAGAGTATTTAAGCTGAGGTTTTTGGATTGTAAGACAGAGCGTATGTCTGCCTCTCGAGGCCACGTTACTCAGTTTGCCAGCTCTGATATTCGTTATAACTGATGTCAGTTAAACTATTACGCAAGTGAGAAGTTCTCAGCCAACTTAAATTGAATTGTATAGTCTTTGACTACTTACTTAACAGTAACTCACGACATGACCACGAGTGGTGGTTGATGTTGTCAAGTATAAGAAGTACGTTTATAAGTTCTGTTATGATAAAAGGTTATTTTAAAACTTTTACAAGACTTTGTAGCTAGTTTCAGGCACAACGATAATTTGCTCTACGTCTGTTAAGAGTTTAATTCCAACTTCCAGTTTTTAATGTGCTATAAAACCATCAATTCATGTAAATTCTAATCCTCCCCTCCCCATGTTAGTAAAGAGGTTGTAATAAGGAAAGGAATTTAAAAGTTCCTTAAATTACTTATTTTTCGAAATTGAAAAAGATATGAAAAAATGCTTACAAAGAGTTTTAAAATTTATTTATCACTAATATTATTTACTTCTGACTTGAATTTATTTTCCTTGTGTGTAGGGTGGCGTCGGCAAGAGGGGTGTGGATGGAGAAATCTTCACGAAAATTCTATGCACCCGTAGTCCAGCTCAGCTAGAAACTACATTCGGAGATTATGAAAAGATAGCAGGACATACGCTGACGGCTGCTATCAGATCTGAATTCACCGGAGATTCGGAAAACACGCTACTTTCTATAGGTTTTGAGTTTGGGCTTTTACTTATATATCCATATTTATGTAGACTTTGTGCTGAATATGTAGTTAGTAATTATGCTATAAGTCAAGAAATATACATGCTTTTGAGGAATTTTAGTTGTTTGCCTATACATTCAATGCACGCTTATGTAACTTTTAGTCATTACAATTTCGGATATCAAATGATGCTTTTTGCTTCATTCAAACTTTGAATTCAAAGAATATTTTCTTACTTTGTATTATTTGAAGAATTAATTGTGGAATTCAGCCCGGTGTAAGTAACACAGGAACATATTAATCATATGTTGATTTTAGATTCAAAATTCTTATAAAATACTAATATGACTTCGTTTTTCATTAACTGTTATTATTACTACGTACCTCGCCTTTAGACACTATACGGAAGGAGAGAGAGACCCTTCGAAGGACTTAAGGAAAACTTTACGCATAGAGAAAACCACGAAAACGCCCATGGAGCTAACCCGTTCATGAAGGTTCGAACTACGAGTGTTCAACGGCTTTTATCGCTCAGCTGCTAGTGGGCTTTTATTTGAATTAACAAAGAAGAAATGTATGTATGTATACATGTATATATGGATGTATGTGTACATATATGCATGTGGTGTGTATGTATGTGTATGCATACACGCACACATATACGCACATACATACATGCATACATACATACGTTTCTGAATCTGGTCCGGATAACAGAAGAGTACCTCAAAGAGGATACTATCACATATAATAAAATTAAAAAAATTATCTGTCATCGTGAGCAGGCACATTTTTATCATCTTATCACAAGAGGTTAAAAGTGTAAAAGAACAAAGAAGATATGTCTTGCAAACGATCTGAATGCTACAAAATGTATCTTTAATTCAGTGGTCAAATTACATGAGAACCAAATGCACGATCTAAAAATAGCTGAAGGGCTGGAATATATATGTATAATATTTCAGCCCTTCAGCTATTTTTTCAATGTGAATAATGTTCGATCATCAGTTGTAATGTCGTTGAGGATTAACACAAGGCAAAAGAAAAAAAAATGTTAAATATTTAATATTATAAGTTAATATTTAATATTTTAAAATATGATTTAAATGTGCATTGTTTGAACGTATGCGGAGAATATAAATTCTGATTTATTTAATGTGCTTTTTTCTTTTAGTTTATTGCATCAAAAATAGGAATCGTTATTTTGCGAAACAGTTGAAAGAATGTTTAAAAGGCTTGGGAACAGATGATTCAGCACTTGTCCGAATTCTTGTTTCTCGGTCAGAAGTAAGTATAAAGCAAGTACATTTTAAAAATTAAAATAAGACTAAATTACTTAATATAGAATGGTGAGTAAATTAAAGAACACGTGAATACTTATCCCTGTTTTAATTTTAAAAACAAAATTCCACTGAAACATAAAACATTAAAAATATTTCTGAAAAAAAGATATAAATAATTAATTTAATTTATTCACGCTTAATCATAATTCTACATTAGAATTCAAAAACGATAGAAACATTTTAATAAGACATAGGTTGATGCAATGCAAAAGAAAAGTATATCACAGGATTGTGCGTATGACTCAATCGGTGAGGCAAAGGTTGGTTGCTTTATGTTATTATGGCAAAGCCTCGAGGGCTATCTGCCTGAGGAAAGGGATGTCTTTGTGAAGGGCTTTCTAAGGGAAACTGGCTGGTATATACGTTACACATAGGAAAAACCACGAAAACGCCCATACAGCTCCCCTCCACCCGTTCAGAGGATTCGAACAACGAACCGAACTACCAATGTTCAGCGATTTTACCGCTCGGTCGTTGGTAGCCCCGGTGCGGCAAAGGAGAATTTCCCACCAAGCAAGTTATCACATATAGCGGCGCTGTAAAATCTCTTTCTATAGACTGTAAAAATTAACGAGTGATCTGTCGTAATTTACACCGAGAAGGAAATTTGCAAATACCAGAATGCGGTATACATCTGTATTTTATTTCAAGTGCAACTAAAGAAAGCTTACAAGTAATTGCAATCAAACTCCGCTATAGCGAACCCATCTTATAACGAACGTTTTGGTCCTGTTCGGTTTCCTATATACTTATTGCTATTTTATACGCTTATAGCAAACTTTCAGATGTATGATTTAGCGGCCGAGCGGACACACTTTTTACGGCCTATTCAATTATACACATTTTTACAACCTAAGTAACCTGAGTTTACCATCTAAGTAAAACTGGTGAACGATGCCTCGTTATTTTTATTTAAACCGTTTTCTTGTAAAGATAAGTGCAACACTGGACAACCAATGATACTTTAATAAGCATTTTGAAACCCGAAGCTCATTTTGCCACATTTCATAGAGCATTCAATTGCATAAGATATGGAATGTGATCATCATGCTTTTATTTATGCGATGTAATTACTAAATTATATTATAAGCACGGAATAAAAGCTGTTTGTTAAATCTCAATGTATCGGTAGTCTGGAAATCTAAAAAGAGGTAACATTAAGTTAAATTTCATATCCATTTTCCTGTTTTACTGGACAAATGATGTATCTCACAGGTCTCATTTTAGCATTCTGCTTCTTTCTTATTGTTTCAATTCTTTAAATGGTTCATTCGGTTTCATTTATTTTAGGGGTTTCCAAATTGAGCCCTGGGGCCACCTTGGCCTTGCTTCACGGAGAGACAAGACCGTATTTTTCATTAATTATACTTTCATTAATATTTTTCATTCATTTTTATTCTACATCTTAAAATAATAGTTCCTTAAATTTTTTCAGTATATATTCACAATTCTTCATTTAATTTCAATTTAAACTATATTTTTAGCATTTTTACTTCGCCTTTTAATCTAAAATAATTTTTGTTCTCAATTTCGTTTTTTAAAGCGCCATTTTATTCTGTTACTTACTTCTTTCAATTTGCAATAATTCTATGTTGTTGCGTCAGATTTGTACTCGATTATTCTCATATATTTTTGCTGCTGTTAACTTCTTGTCGAAAATATTGCTGTATTTATCTTCTCAGCAATGGCATCGGTTGGCCATTCTGTTTTCCGTTCGCGACCATTAGTATGAATTTCATAACCGGGTGGAGAATATCGCAAAGTCTTATACATCCAAATCAGAAAAAAGTCATGATCTCGACGAATCAGATTTGTAGTCGATTATTCTCATACATTTTTTGCGTCTGTTACTTCCTGTCTAAAATATTGCTATATTTAGCTTCTCCGCATTGCCATCTGCTGGTGCTTTTTTTTTTCCCCGTTCGCCATTATCTGTATCAAACTCATAAACGGGCGGAGAAGGTCATACAATAAAAAAAGTCATGATGTCGACAAAATATTGTAATAAATCGACTGGTCGATATTTCCCAAAATGAAACGATTTTCACTAAACAAGCAAATCGAGGGTAACGATAGTTCAAGTTTGAACGACAAAACATTGAAAGTTGGTGTACTAGAAATTAAGCGAAAATATCATAACTATTAGGAAAGTTGCTTTGATTTTGTTTTACTTCGGTAGAAATAAATAACGATGAAAGACAACGATGGCAGATGTGTTGTCTTACAGTAAACTTAAAATTATTTGCACTTAAAATTTATGCTTCCAAGTAAGCTAAAGTAACATCTCGAGAACATTCACCCTAACCTGGTCGACAAATCTCGCTATTGTTTCATCAGGAAGTTGCAAGATTTATAAAACCATAGCAGAATGTTCACTAAACAAGTGTCAGTTCCGAATAACGTTTAGTTTAGCGTCTTTCAAAGTAGCTCATTGAGTGACGAAGTGCAAAAACCGAACACTATCGGAAAAGAGGTTATTCTACCGGTTAACATTATGGTGGGAAAAGATGCAGGAAAAACTCATTTCTAAAGTACTTATCCAACAAGATTATAAGGAATTCATTATATAGCTCAGGATCTCATTGATTAGTTCATAGCGAAAATGAAAGGAAATGAATTTGCTCTGCAACGAGATGAGGCTACTACTGACAGTAATAAAGATGCAAATCTTATACGTTATATACGCTTTCTCGGTGGTAATATTATTGTTGAAGATGTTCTGTTCTGTAAGAGCATTATCGGAAGTGCAAAGGCTCAAGATTGATTGATTCGAAATGTTTGAAAATTAATAATGGAAAATGATTTAGATTGGTAAAAGTGCATCGGTGTATGTACTTATTATGCTCTATCACTATACTGTCGCTTTGAAGGACTGAAGGCACTTATTTGCAGTATAACACAGCAGGCTGGGTGGATCGATTGCATCTTTTATAGAGAAGCACTGGCATCGAAGCCGCTTAGTCGAAGTAGTAGAATGGGTCATAGACGTCATAGACCACATGAAAACTAGCCAGCTGAAAGCAAGTTTTTTTCAAAAAGCTATGCAAGAGTATGAATGCTGAACACACGGATCTGTTATGCTATTGCAGTTCACGATGGCTCTCACGTGGCAACTACCTGTCTCGCGCGTTTGAACTGCGTCCAAAAATATGCACTTTTCTGCAAGAGGAAGATCATGTGATCACTAAGTATTTTGCCGAACCAACTGAAACTATCATATTAGGAGGACATTTTTGACAAACTACATAATTTTAATCTATTTCTATACTGCAATGTGTACACATCTTGAAACTTGTAGAAAAGATTTCAGCGATTAGGAAAAAGCTGCAGTTGCGAATAAAAAAAACTGAATGACAGTGGTGTTCAAAAATTGTTTTCCACATTGTACTAATATACAAAGTCTAGTAAAGTCGTTGTTCTACAGGAACTGCTGTTCCCTTTCATGGAACATTAAATAAATTTGAGTAATAAAGCTCACTGACTGGTTTGCAAAATACTTTGGGAAGGTAATCCAGAGAAATTTATGTTGAATCCAAGATCCTTTTCATGCCCAAACTCCGAAGGACTTTACTTCCTAAAACGAAGGTAATTTAATAAGACTCCAATCAAAACTGAGTATCCAGTTTAAGTTCTAAACTACTAAGGATCCTCATTCCCTTTGCTGCATCGTATCTGTGCGAAGCTGGATTTTCAGCTGTAGCTTTAATAAAGACCAAATACCGTTCGAAAATCAGTGTGGAGCAAGAAATGAGAATAGCTGTATCAATCCCTTCTTCCGCGGTTTGAAAAATTGTGGAGGATCGACTTTCTAATTTGCCACTGAAGGTTTCTTTTATTTGTATTTGATTTACATGTTTTCTTCTGAATTAAAATTATTATACTTTTTCACTAAAACGTTATTTTCATTTCTGTGCCCCATTATAGTAGAAATACTTCAATCGGGGCGCCATGAAAAATAATGAAACTGTAATGCGCCTCCCACCAAAAAAGTTTGGGATCTCCTGATTTATTTAATATTTAGGATGCTGCTATGGAAAATGAGTTCGAATACCTGAATCTCAAAACTAGATCTTACTAGACTTTTGTAAAGGAATACCAGTAAAAGATCTCTATATAGAGATTATTCTGTTGGAAAAATACGAATGGATAAGAATGCTGATCCCGAGAAGAAACCTAGAATTCTAAGAAGAAAAAGGAGACTAAAATGCTAGTCATAGGAAGAAAACTAAGCCGAATAAAATTGCAAATCTAGAACAAGGAAGTAAAAAGCCTCGTAATGAGAGCTCAACTTACATCTCATAATCCTCGACTTTCTGTAGGTAATTCACGAACATTAGCCTTTCGTTTACTTTGTGCACTAGTACTATTATCTGATAATGTCAGTAATTAACTTTGTTCATTTATTTATTTATTTATTTAAATTTTTATTTATTTATTTATTTATTTTGTGTGCTCCTGTTAGAATTGCAAGACGAGAAGGCCTTATTTTTTGCTTTATATTTATTAAATATCATTGTACATCAGTAATTTACGCTTTCTTCTTCACTATTTCACAATGCATTATCGGCTGACATTATATTTGTTCCCTCTTTCTCCCCTTATCATTGATAAGAAGTTGCAGTGGAATGTAACATATCAACTCGAATTATACACTATCTGAATATTGATAAAAAAAAACACTTCTTGTTGTACGTGCTTAAAATTTGAAAGATTTTTTTCCAGCTGTGCCTTTGATTGATGATAATGATGTAAGGAATAAAACTGTTTAAGATCTTATTGTTCAGAATTAAGGAAAATAAATTCTTTTTTTATTATTTTAATGCTCATTACTAAAACATTAATGTAGGTATCAGTTCTGAAGGTTTACGAAGACGATTTTTAACCTGAATAGTAGGATTTACCGCAATAAAAAATATTATTGTTGTGGTATAAATGAATAGCTATGCACGAACCTGGAAGGAAAGTAAATCCCAAAATATACGCAGAATGTTCACGGAATTTCAAGAAAATTATACAGGTTATTCAGAAGAAGGAGGCTATAGATTTTATTTTTTCAAATGTGAAAATCAGGCATTCATTTTTAACTTAAGTTTTCAAATAAAGTACTAAATTCTGTGAGAACATAATTATTAATTGCTGAAATGAACAATTTTCACTTTGTAGCTGCTCTCTAAATTTGTTCTCAAAAAATAAATAAATAAATCTTTGTTAAATATCTTCTGCTAAATTTGTCCGAAAATATATGGTTTGGCTTGGTTTAGTTTATTATTGCAAAGTATTCTACAGCTATCTGCCTGAGGGGAGTGATGCCTTCGTGGAGAACTTTCTAAGTTGATCTGGCTCGTATATACGTTACACATGGAAAAAACCAGAAAAAAACCATGCATCCAAACCCGTTTGCTTGGAAATTTTTCCGTAAACTCAGGTCGAAGCTACCAGTGCTCAACGATTTTACCACTCGCCCGCTCATCTGCGCTCGGAAATATGTGCAATATTTTGTTTCTAAAACTATAAAGCAAATTTAATATTTTATTCACTGAAATTTCGAATGCTCGCCGACTAATATTATATAAATAATAATATATATATATTAAATACTATATTAAATAAACGACTATATAATATATAAATTAAAATATTAATTTGAGGATTAATTTTCTCTCCTTTTTTAATTAAACATCTAATGAATTTCCTAAATTAACATCACTAAAATTTTCCGAAATTCTGTTTGAAAAACGTAAAATTACAAAATGGATAAAAAAATTATTCAAAAAGACTAAGGCATACTTTTTACAGTCCTTTCTTGCAAATTGTGAATTATTTAAAATTAAAAAATAATATATAATTTTTAAATTTAAAATAATACTTTGTAAATTCATATCTTAAATAGTACTAATAGTTTAATAGTAAAAAGTAATAAAAGGGTCTTTAGAAGATTATTTTTTAGGGGAAGGCCCAGGGAGTTATGGTAAAGAATTTAAGTTTTAATTTACAATGATAAAATTACAGGGTTTTTTTTTTAAATAATTTATTAAAGAATCTTTTCATTATACTACGTAGAAAATGCTACATTTTTATAATCTTACTATCTACCAATCTTATCAATGCTTTTTATAGACTAAAAGAATTTTAATTCTTGGTGAAATGTGTTATTTACTTCTCAGATTGACCTTGAGGATATTAAAGAGGCTTACATTCAAATGTACCAGAAAGATCTAGCTGTGGATGTTGCTGAAGATACCAGTGGAGATTACAGAAAAGCACTTCTCAGAATATTACAGCCATAAAAAGCAAAGATTCTTCTTTAGGCTCATATTAGCAGGTATTGTATTTGCATCTGCATTTAATGAAATGTTACTCTCAAAGTAAAGTTGGAAATGAAAATGAAATCCTGAGTATCTGAGCAGGAGCTTTATTACTGTAATAAATTTATAACAGTGGACAAATTTCAAATTTTCGAATGGTAAAAATAAAGTTTTTCACCGCAAATTGATCAGCGCACTGGAAAACCATAAATGGCATTGGAACGAAACATGTATGATGAAAACTGCCAAGGTAGAACATTCGCAAAAAAGAACATGGTACAGATAGAGGGAAAAAGCTTTTATTGGAATTTCAAATTTTCAACGTGCTCACATTCGCAGATGATAACGCATTGTGTGCGGGAGATTGTTGACAACAATGACGAACGTAACATAGCAGGCGAAATCTTTATAATTTTACGTTTTATGGCATCTTCATATTCTAACGAATCTCGGGGATATGATGCGCACACCTTAGATTTCAGATAACCCCAGAAACAGAAACTCATCCGGGTGAGGTCGGGAGATCTCGGTGGCCACGTAATGTTAAGGAAGGTGATTTTGTCTCCAAAGTACTATTGCAGCAGTGACTTAACATGTGTGGCAAGGTGTGGAGGAGCACTATCTTCCATCCATACAAAGTCATGAATAACATTTCACTGCTGCAATTCTGGGATTACGTAATACTGCAACTGTTGTATACTTCACTCTTGTGATGGAGCACATTTTCTTACCTGTGAAAAATGACCTCTTCAAAAAAATGTGGACCGATAACGAATATGATTGCTGTGCTACACCACATACTTTAGTTTCGTGTGAAGCTCATGCCACATCATTAAGATTTTCTCCAGTGAACGCTTCTACGGTCTCTTTCTGTGAATTATGTAAAATATGTCAATGCACCTCCTCTCTGTGTTGTCATGCATGCAATTCTCTTCTTTGCAAATGTTTTACGCCGGCAATTTTCGTTATCTGTGTATCGTTTCAACGCTATTTATAGTTTTTCAATGCGTTGATCAGTTTGTGCAGGTAAAAAGTAGGTGTTGCCATTCGAAAATTTAAAAATGTTTGCCCTATAACCGTGAGAGCTCTATTGTTTTAAATCATTACAATCTCCTAGTGCTTACTTTCGAATAACAATATCTAAAACTACATTTCGATTGATTGAATGGGTAGGCCACTAGGGTTTCATATATATCGAAACTTTTTTTATGATAAATCTGTATGTGTGAGTCAACATTCAGATGCCAGTATTTTTAAACAACAGCAGAGGGAATGTGAGACATTACGCAATTGTACAGTAGCATCTCGCTTTTGCACAGCGTATGCTTCCAGCATGCGCAGTGGACATTTTTTTCAGTATAGCAACTTTAGTCGTTTGGAAACGAATACAGATTTTAGCCAGGCAATAGTCAACTGCTGAAAAATATGTTCGCTGTGTTGACGACGAGAAATTTAATAGAAATTTCTTTCCATATGCAAAAAACAAAGTTTTGAACAGAATTCGCAGGTCGAATAACATAGGTATTTTGACACAAAATCGAACTTTTTCTGGAAAAAAAAAAAAAAAAAAAAATACCAAATATTTTCCATACTTCAATTTTACGACTCTAATTATGCCAAAGTGCCAAGTTTTGTAAAAAATCGCAAGAGTAGTTTTTAAAAAATTAGCTTTCAAAATTTTAGCTCCTCCATGTGAATTGAATTTGGTATATATTTATTGATATATCTCCTTTATTTTATTAAACTTATTTGAATCTTCCTTTCACATTTCGAAATTCAAACATTCCAAATAAAATTAGCTCATTTTTTATGATTTATTTTTTAATTTGTATTTTAAAGTAATTTTTATAAATTTTTCGAAAAGAATTCTGATTCATAACGTATAAAATTTTTATCATCTTAAAGTAGATGTATTTCTAAACATATCTGCAAAAATGTGGAGTTTTTTATTCAAAATCTCCAAAGATATACGTGAATTTACATATATGCGCATTTTGAAATTTGACATATTTGTTACTAGCGATAATAACGCCAAATGTGATTTACGCGCTTTGTTAAAATTATTTGAAACTATGAAAGATGATCTTTTTCCGCTCGTGTAAATTAAATAGAGGAAAGGCAAATAGGTTGCTATAAATTAAGAAGTTCACCAAGTGAATTATTACAAACAGCCAACACAACAAGATCGAGGGAAGCAGGATGAATACTATACTATATCACTTTAATGTGATAAGTGTTGTTTAAAAAATTACAGTGTTACCAGAGTGTCTGTAGTACTTTTATTATTAGCGAAATTCAGTTTCTTAAAGAATCTAAATAAATAAAAAACATGTGAATGTTAAAAATCTTAATTTTATATTTAAACGTGAGAATCACAGCAAGAATAACAAAAAATTTATTTATAATAAGCAAAAAATTTCTTATTGCATTTATTTACTTCATAATAACTTATATTAATGCCCCCTCATTTATAGAGAATTGCCGTCTGTTTATTTTATTTTGCTTTACTGTATAGTGTTGCGAGGCCCCAACTTGTCAGCAACAGATAGTGACTGCTATGAACTGTAAATTACACAAACTCGTAAGAAGGGTTTAAATCCATTTTTATTCCACTTTAGAAATAACAGCTGCGTTCACTTGACGCTCACAAACTACGCCGACCTGGCGGTTTAACAAAACAAAAATGTGAAACTAAAAATAAATGACTGGATGAATAAATAACGAGATCACTACCTACGAGGCTCTAAAATCGTAACTAACTTAACCGCGTTCTAAGATACAGCTGAGATTCAGCAAGCTTACTGATTAAGCAGTTGAAGATTCAACGAACTGCCGAAATAGGCACACAGGCCAAACGCGCGGTTCTTAAATTTGTACCTAGCAACCTTCACGCTCGTGATTCAAGAAGCACACATACAATCTCGTTTCCCTTCTATTTAAACTCAACTTACTTCTGCTAAAAATTTGAATATAGTGCGCGTTCTACTACAATTTACATACTCTCGCACTGGCAATTCTAGGGGAAAGTAAAGGCTTGACAACCTTTTTATAGCATTTATTTTTTTAGTTAAAAAATAGTGTGCCAATTATAAAATTGTTTCAACCACTAATCATTGTATTATATTTTTTCCAGCTTCATTTAACCTTCATTAAAATCATTGAAGCATGCGCAGCAGAGTTTTTTATGGAGTTGTGCACATTTTTTCATTTGTGAAATAAATAAGTATTTTAGCATAATGCAAGTTTGTTTGTTGTGTTTATTTTGTATAAGTATTACTAGTGGTATGAACACAGCTTATTTAGAAATACAGAAAGAAATCATAAATAAGTTACTGATAAACAAAACTTCCACTGTATGTTTAATTAAGTAATGTAAAGCCACATTAAGTAAGGCATAAAAATACCAGAAGGTTAAAAAAAATCGTAAGTAATTATTTTGAAAATGCGTGTATTATGTATGCATAAAACTCAGTTGAGACTCTTTTAGATTCCGAAAACAACACGAAATATTTAAATACGTTAAATTGAAATTATTTAACCTAGTTTCCTTCTTACACCAAATAGTTTTCCAAAAAATAAAATTCATTCTACTGAAAATATATGTATGCATATATGTTTGTTTGTATTGTATCCATAAGAAATAAGTTACGGTTGCAAAACTCAACATGTGCACTGTGTTAAGGCAGAAGTCATGTGGCAACCACGATGGGAGAAAACGACAACGTGGTTAGCTAGCGGCCATTATTAGTGTGCTTGATTGCGTGCTGAGAGGTGCACCTATGCGATGGCAAGAGTGTCCATCCAAACAGAAGTTAAAAGAAATAAAGCTACAATCCATTAAATCTTGGTGTTTGTGTTTCATGAGTATGTTTATTCTCGAACATAATTGTGGTCCGTGCAACCCGGTAGGAAGATTAGTGCCTATGGATTAAGTGCTGGTTAAAAAGCTTAATGGTGAAGTGTTAAATTGATAAAAAAGTGTGATATGTTACTTCGCATTCGACAAAATAATTAAAAATTAGTGTGTGTTTGGATTTACAAATTTCGGGTTCATTTGGCTTACCTCAAACGGAGGTAAGTGAATTTGTTCATATATGTTCGGTATTATTAATTAACGTTAATTATGGAAGCATTTTTAATTAAGAAAAGAATTTTAAAGTCAAATATAACGAAAGCGACATCAGATTTCGAAAAATATACTTGTGATGAATTTCAGTTACAACTTTTTGAAAATAAATGTGCAAAATTTAATAATGAGTGTTCAGAGATTTTTGATAAATTATTTGTAATAGTTGATGAAAAAGAGTTTGACAAATATGTAACTGAACAACAAACTGTTCAAGACAGCATTGATACTTTGTGGGTTAAGGTTAAACGACAAATGTCAAAATTTAGTGCTAAAGATGCAAGTAATGTAAAGATTGAAAATACCAGTGCACAAGGTATGAAATTACCTAAATTAAACTTGCCGTCTTTTAGTGGAAATATTCAAGATTGGTTAAGCTTTCGGGATCTTTTCATTTCAAGCATTCATAATAATAATGTATTATCGGATTCCCAAAAGCTCTCGTATTTGAAGTTATCGCTTCATGGCGAAGCAGCTAGGATTATTCAATCAGTCACAATTTGTGACAATAACTATAAAATTGCTTGGGATTTTTTAGAAGAGAGATACTCCAATAAACGTGATCAGGTTTTCGCCCAGATAAAGCGATTTATGTCAATTTCTCCCATACGAAATGAAAGCCCGTCTTCTATTTTAAAATTAGTAGACACAGTGAATGAAAGTGTAAGGTCTTTGGAAATATTAGACCAAAAAATAGAGGGATTCGCAGAAACATTTCTTGCATATATTTTGCTGCAAAAATTGGATGTTTCCACTCGTCTTTGGTGGGAAAGAGATTCAAAAACAAGTGAGTTACCTAAATTATCTGAGGTTATTACATTTCTAAAAAATCATGCTAGAACTTTGCAGTCGTCAAAGTCATCTAATGTGTTTAATGCAAAAAAGGGTCAACCTATTCAAAAGGTGACTGCCTTAGTGTCAAATGTTAAAGGTCAAGATTTTAAATGTATTTGTTGTAAAAGTATCAATTTTCACAAGTTGTATAAATGTAATTCTTTCTTGAAAATGACTGTAAGTGAACGTCTTGAATTTGTTAAGAAACATAAATTATGCTTTAATTGCTTGGGTTTTTAATCCGACTCATACTGCAAAGAACTGTCGTTCAGAATTCAGCTGTTCAAAATGCATGAAAAAACACCATAGTTTACTGCATTTTCCCAATCAAGACATTTCGCATTCACCTGCTACTATAGCGAGTTGTGTGGGGAAGGAGGAAGCACCGGCTAATAATTCTGACCCCCTTTAGTAGACAACTCGGAATCTGAAACGCTGACGCCAGATGTTTTGAAATGTTATCTAATTGCAACCAAATAAACAATTCGGAATTTATTGGTTCGTCTGTAACTGCTTCACAAGTGATTTCGAAGGAGGTATTACTATCTACTGCTATTATTTATGTTAAAGATTCTTGCGGGAATTTTATTGCTTGTCGAGCTTTACTTGACTGCGGAAGTCAGTGTTCGTGTTTCACCTATGATTTCGCTAATAGGCTTGGAATAAAAGGGAGTAAAATTAACATATCAATTTCATGTTTAAATGGAAAAGCTCTATCGGTAAAATCCAAGCTTACTGCTGTGATATCAAACAAGCGTGATTACCACCGTGCTCTCGAATTCTTTGTTGTACCTAAAATTAATGATTTGGTACCAGTGAATTATTTTAAATTTTCATTTTCACAGCTTCCGCAAAAGATCAAACTAGCGGATCCTCATTTTAACAAGCCCCAGAAAATAGATGCCTTGTTAGGTGCAGAATGCTTTTATGAACTATTGAAGGCTGATCAAATTCATCCACGAAATTCTAATTTAACTCTTCAAAATTCCGTATTTGGATACATTGCTACCGGTGTAAATGTTGGTTCAAATTCAGGCAATACGATTCAGTGCGGATTTATGAAAGTCGAAGAAGACTTAAATTCACTAATCAAGTCCTTTTGGGAAATTGAGGCTGTTACAGAATCTCTCAAAATAAAAAATAAAGAAGAAGTAGAATGTGAGGAGCATTTTAGAAAAACCCATCAGAGGGATATTGAGGGTAGATATGTAGTGACGCTACCATTAAGGCAAGATGTTCATTTGGGTGATTCTTCGCAATTAGCACCCAACGGTTAAATAATTTGTGGAAGAGACTAGACAAAACCCCTGACATGTCTAGGATGTATTGTGAGTTCATGAGTGAATATGAAGCGTTAGGGCATATGCAAAAAATGCAGAGTGTGACGGAAACTCCTAAATACATAATGCCTCATCATGGTGTTTATAAGGCAGACAGCAGTACAACTAAGTTACGAGTGGTATTCGACGCATCGGCTCCTTCATCGTCTGGTTTTTTCATTAAACGACTGTTTGATGAATGGAGGTGTAGTTCAAGATGACCTGTTTGCTATCTTGCTACGATTTAGAAAACACAAGGTGGCTTTCACTGCTGATATATGCAAAATGTATCGGCAGATTCGTATAGATCCTGAGCAACGCAAAACTTCAATGCATACTTTGGAAAAATACGTTGAATGATGCATCTAAACTTTATCAATTACTTACGGTAACATATGGAACAAAATCAGCGCCTTTTTAGCAATAAGCGCTTTTTTTCAACAAGATCAGTGTTTGAGTGCAGTTGTTGAAGCAGTTAGCCTTAGATGAAAAGGATAAGTATCCATTGGCTTCTAAAACGACACTCAACGATTTTTATGTTGATGACATTTTGTCTGGTGCAGAAGATGTCACCTCTGCTGTAGAATTGCAGCGGCAGTTAATAGACATGCTACAATCTGCGAAAATGGAATTGCACAAGTGGTGCTCAAACGAAAAAATTCTTTTAGAACAAGTTCCATTCGAAAAACAAGAGTATCGTTTTGGAGAATCTTCACAAAGCACCGTAAAGACTCTGGGTTTAAGATGGAATCCAGAAGAAGACTCTTTTAGTTTTACTGTGTCTAGTTCGTCAAAAATCTGTACAAAACGCACGGTTTTGGCAGATATTGCTAAACTGTTTGATCCTTTAGGTTTCCTAGGGCCTGTAATCATGCGTGCTAAGATATTCCTGCAAAGGCTGTGGCTTTTACATCTAGAGTGGGATGATCCACTTCCTTTCAAAGAGCGACAAGAATGGGAGACATTTCAAAAGGCCCTACCAGAGTTGAAACAAATCAAAGTCCCTCGTTGCACTCTAATAGAATCAATTAAAGAAATTGAGCTCCACTGTTTTGCTGATGCTTCAAAGTTTGGATATGGTGGAGTAATTTACTTGCGCTGTGTCTCTAAAATTGGCGAAGTTAAAGTGACTTTACTTTGCAGCAAATCTCGAGTATCGCCTATCAAGGTAATAACCATTCCTCGTCTGGAGTTGTGTGCAGCAGAGCTCCTTTCCAAACTTGTGTGTAAGGTAATAACATCTTTGAGTTTATATGTTGACAAAGTTATTCTGTACACAGATTCAACAATTGTGTTAGCCTGGATTGCTACATCTCCTCATCTTCTAAAAGTGTTTGTGTCAAATAGAGTAGCTCGTATCCAAGAGCTAACTAAGGATTTCTGCTGGCAACATGTCAGAACAGCAGACAATCCCGCTGACCTAATTTCTCGCGGTCTGAGACCGGAAATTATTGCTGACAACTCTTTGTGGTTTCAAGGACCAAATTTTCTGCATCAACAGGTCATTAATTATAGTGTTAATAATAACTTTGAAAATTCAAATGAGAACTATGTGCGCGAACTGAAACTTATTTCTAATGTAAATTTGACCGTAACTGTTAAAAATTCTCTTTTGGATTATGTTTTTTAGTATTACTAATTGTTATGCTAAATTAATTAATGTTTTTGCTTATGTTTTAAGATTTATAAGAAATTGTAGATCCAAGGAAAAACAAGTAGGTCATCTGACAGTAGATGAGGTTTCGTTAAGCGAAAATAAATTACTTTCCTTAGTCCAATGTCAAAACTTTCCTGAAGAATTTAAGAACAAGAACTTAAGTAAGAGAAGGGAAGTATGTAAAAATAGTCAGTTAAAATTTTTATGTCCCTTTTTAGATGAATCTCAAGTTATTAGAGTAGGTGGTAGACTGCAGGAAGCTAACTTACCCTTTAACACAAAGCACCCTGCTGTCCTGCCAAAAAA